TCAGTAATATGTGCAGTTAGAGCAGTTCGGATAGAGTAATTGTCCAATAAATCTTTCCATGTTCGAGTGGTTTTAGGTTTGGTTTCAGCCATGTTCATATTTCGGTAATAAGAAGAAGGAGAACAGTTTGATCTTGGTCCCCATCTCTCTTGACTTCTTTCTCTGGATCTACTCCTATTTCTTTGAGAATAGTAATTTCTATCTCTGCTTTGACTTCGACTTCTATCATTTCTATAACTTCGATTATCTCGTTCCCTATAATGTGAAGATTGGGAGTTTTGATCTTGATAATAGTTCTTATTTTCTCTATTTTTTTGGTCATCACTTTTCTTTTTGTAATAGTTAGCAATATAATAACCAGGGTTTTCACAATAAAAACATCGAGCTTTACTTTTGTTGGGAGTAGGTTTGCGTTCGGCAGTATAAGCAGGTTTCTGGGGTTGTTGCACTTGTTGTTGTTGGGCTAAATTAATACTCAACTTAGCAATTTGGTCAGTAAGCTGGGTAATGGCATCTTTAGTGTCAGTGTTAGTAGTTATAAATTTTCCTGTTTCTTAGAGTCTTGCTGTTTCAATAGCAGCTTCTAAATCAGCAGGAGCAGAGGCTTGTACAGGCATGGCAAATTCAGGTCTTAATCCTTTAACAAATTGTTGGAGTATAAAAGTTTCAGGTAGTTCTTCAATTCTGTCCTTAAGGCGTTTAAACTTGGCAATATAAGTATCAACAGTACTACTGCCTTGTTTAAGTTCAAAGAGTTGTTGTTGCCATTTAGCTTTCTGCCTAGTAGTATTAAATTTTTCTTTGAATAAAGTTTTAAAACTAGTTTCTACTCCTTCTTCATCCCAATAAGATCAGAGTTGGTTGTCATTTTTGGTTTTCACTCATTCTTCAGCAATTCCTTTCATATAGGCTTTGGCCAATTCAAGTTGTCTATCTTTACTCCAATGGTTTGCTTTAGCAGCTCGGTCAAATTCTTCAAGCCATTCAATAGGGTCTTGATTTCCATCACCTTTAAAAGCTTCAATTTTAATGAGATTCTTTTCACCTTTTCTACCTTTATTTAAAGCTTTAGCAAGTTCACTAATTGCTTTTGCAGCAGCAACCATAGGTTCAACTTATTCTTCAGTATCACTCATTGTGTTTCCTTGGTTTAAATTATCTTCCTCAGAAAATAATTGATCGAGACAAGAATATAATTCTGTAGTATCAACAGGTAATTCAGAACCTTTAGAAGTGGAGGGAGTTTTAGTTAATAAAATAGAAAATTCCTCTTCTAGAGATGTTTCAAAGAAACTTGTAATTAATTTGGGTTGGAAGTTGTTTCCTTAATAGATGGGTATATTGGAGTATAAGGGGTACTATCTTCTTCAACAGTGTGTTCTTCAATTGGTAGGTATAATGAGAGATACGAGGTGTAACTTCATTCTACTTGAGGATTATGCCAAGGGTCTTCAATAGCAGTATTTGTAGGTAAAGTATTATTAATATTCTCTAAGATATTAAGATGAGTGGTGGATGAATTATGGGGTTGGGGTAATACTAATTCACTAATAGCACTATTATCTATATTAGAAACAATAGTAATAGGACTTGGGGTAGGGGTATAAAAAGTAGAGCTAGTTAAATCTTCTAGGTTAACAGGGTTAATTATAGTAGAAATTTTCTCAGTTATATCACCAAGAGTAACAGTAATAGTTTTAGGAGGATTAGAAGTAGTGTTAATAGCAGAAGTTATTGCAACTTTTTCAGTATCTTCCTGATTAATTTCAAAAGAACTAGCAAGAGGTTCAGCAACAGTTTTACAGAGATAGTATATGGAGATTTTTCAGATGTAGTAATTAATTGAATAGAAGGAAGAATAAAGTTAGGATTATCGATATAATTATCAAAATGGTTTCTATTATCAAAAATTTGGGGGATAGGAGCATGCGAGGTATAGCTTCAAAATAAAATTGAAACTACAGAGCGAGGTAAAGATATGTTGTTTCTATAACAGCAACTAAAAATAACATCATGAGCAGCACAACGAGCAGTAGATCAGGAAGCAATAACTAATTTGTTATAAGCAGATTGAGTTTTGCGACTATAAAATACAGCTTGATATTCAAGAGAATACCACTGCCAAAAACGAAGAAAAGTTGAGTAACTGCCAGAAGTTTTTGGGGCAAAACACTCAGTACATGATAAATCAGATGTAAGGGTTTGCAGAACAATATAAGAAATAGCTGGGCTGTCAATATGAGCTTGTCGATGGTTTTCAATAGCAGTAAGATAATATTGAGTTAGAGGATCTCCTATAAGACTAAAATAAAATTCAAAATTCTTTTAAAAGAGTTAGTAATAACAATAATTTTAATACAATAATAATTAAACAATTTAACAATATAACACCAGGTAGCATTAGCTACAAACAATAATTAGAATAATATTATGTAGTAATGACTACAAACAATATGAATATAACACTAGGTAGTATAGTAACTACAAGCAATAGTAATAATAAAATAACACCAGGGAGTACTATAACTCCAAACAATACAATAATAATACCAGGTAGTATAATAACTACTGATTAATTCACACTAGAATTAATCCTCAAATAATAATAAAATTTATACCTTGCAAGATGTAAGTGCTGTTAATAATTAATTAAAATTCCAATCAAGATATAAGTTTCCACAATAGATGTTGCTTTCCAAGATGGATTATGCCTTTCCAGGTATTGAATTTTCCAGAATGATGTTTGGGTTCCCGGGGTAATATTTTGGCTTTCTGCCAGGAGGCACCAAAATGTTACAATGCTATAGCCTTCTATCAACAATATAGCAGAGTAACAAGGTCACTCGCTGTAGAGAAACCTATAATAGGAATATACAGGGAGTGAAGTAAAGTATTTACAATACTTTACAGCAGTAGGCAAACGGTTCAAAATAGTAACGGTGTATTGTATTAACTTTATTAAACACAGATGTCACAGTGATAACCTTGTCTGTAGAATTTACTTTAGAGGGGGAATATCACACTTATACAAATATAAAAAGGGTAAGATAATAATGGCTAGATTCTATGAGAGAGTAGGAAAACTCTGACTTGAGCAGAAGAGTCAAAAGGCTCCTTTTTTATAACTTTTCTACACATAGGAGGTATAACGGCTAAACTGTGTCAGAGGCACTTGTGTTTAGAGGCACTCAGAGGCACTTGTGTTCAGAGGCACTCAGAGGCACTTGTATACAGAGATACTCAGAGGCACTTGTATACAGAGGCACTTGGAGGCACTCATGCAAAGGCACTTGGAGGCACTTGTGCAGAGTCACTTGGAGGCACTTGTGCAAAGGTACTTGAAAACACTCGTGCAAAGGCACTTGGAAGCACTTATACTACCTTTGGTATAGTATTACTGTGCTGAATATAACTAGCCAATAATATTTCTATAACAATACAATAATACAATAATAAGATAATAAATACTATGCTAATAAATATAACCAAATAATATAATATATAATAATAATACAGATACTGAATATAAACTAACTATTCTATACTTCTGTCACACTGTGTTACAACCTATTTTGTAACAATATGTTTTATTTAAAACAACAGTTATTTTGGGTTTTACAAAAAGATACATTTAATAAAATTGAAATTTTAATGATACATAATTATAATGATAATATAGAGAAACAAAAAAAAAAATGCTCTATGAATAAACTTTAGTTAGTTTGAAAGCTTTAAAGTTTATTTTGTCTATTAATAATAAAACATATTATTTAGATAGACCTTAAATAGTCAAAACCAAAGTTTTACAAGTTTATCATTCTTTCTTTGAGAAATTATTTCATTTTATATTTGGTGCATATAAGAAATTAGCAAAGAAACCTTATCCCTAGCAAATAAATCTTATTTTAGAACTTGCTCGAAATGGTTAGATCAATATTCAGGACAAAATTATAAAAAAATTCAGTCAATATTGTAAAAATATTGAGTATCAAACCACAATCAATTTGTTTAACAATTTAGTTCTAGCCATGCTTGATATATATATTAGTTTATTTTAATTAGATTTATTTTATAAATATGTAGAGACAGTTTTCAGAATTTAGACATTTGCTTTATGCTAGAAAAGGAAAAACTATAATAAAGCCCCTCTTATTTTTTTGTCAAATTTGTTTTACTTAAAGAATATTAATCATTTCTTTTTAAATATAATTAGAATACACTTGCCAAGCTTTAACAAGTATTATGTAGAAAATACTTTTGGTTTTTTGTGGATTATCCTCAAAATTTATGGAAAATTATGGATCCATAATTTTCGGCGTCCCTGCCGTCTTGTTCAGCAGCCAAAAAGTAGTTAGATAAAGTTTCACGAGGAACCAATAAATTTTTAGTATAGTTTTCGTATATCAACGATCTATATCTAAATCATATAGAAATCTCTGTTATCGATCTCACTATATACCATTAGAATCACAAAAACTAGCTCTACAACATTTATAAGAAGTTAACTTAATAAAAAATCAACTTTATATTGTAGGAAAAGGTGATTTTTGTATTTCAATATATATATATATGTTGTTATAAAAATTTACTATTAGTGTTATTTATTCGCGAACTATCAATTAAATATAAAAACTTTATATATAGACAACATAAATTTTTAGCTGTCGTGGATCTATATCAATTTAAATATAATCCAATTTACTTGTTCACTAAAATTTCAACTAATTTTTATAAACAAAACCGTCGCAAACTTTTAAATAAAAAAATGTAGAACTCATTAATTCGTGTAAGTATAACAATCGCGTGATTAATACACATATTTTATCACATACTAGTCTAAAATACAGCGGTTTATTAAAATTTCTTTGACATACAAAAAATTGGATAAAATTTAAAAATGGTGCGCTTTCTTTTGGCTTTCCCAAAAGAGAACAATATGATCATGTACAACCACAAGCTCTAAACAAACAACATCAGTCTACTTATAGGAGATAATCCATCTATCTTATAGGAGCTGTATACATCACGGCTTTGACACCTGCTATAGATACGCGAAACCGTAACACCTAAAAGAAATTGTGCAATTAGAATAACGGACAGCAGGAAAAAAAATTGAACAAAGACTCATCACTTACATATTCTATGTGACCGTGCTAGTGTAGATTGTTTGTAAAAGGTAACCACCACCCCCGCTCGTTGACATTGATGGATGAGTTCGACCGGGTAGAACCTACCAAACAAGTAAGATAGTATGGAAATTGTAAGTATATGAAAATGAAAAATGATATTTCATAATAATGAAATAGCATAGCAAAATCCGGTTCTACCGGTTTCTCGCAGAATATTGGTATTAAATCCTGGTTGGAGTTAATACCTGGTACTGTCGTAACCAGCTCTCGGTTATTTGTGGATATAGAAATTTTCCAGATATTCGCATGTGAACACAAGTATTCACTAATACCTTTGTAAATAATTTGGTGTATGTAAATTTGCCTTAAATAAAAGAATGATTACATTAATAAAAAACTTTATTTGATACCTCTCTGTTAATATGATAAATTATAATTGGTCTTGATCCAGCCAAATAAGGGACCAGTGTATCCAGAATTGATTCTGGCTGATATTGACTTGCAACTAATAATCTACATTTATAATAACATTCAAAGACATTATATGCATGCTAAATATATATTTAGATACAAATAATCAAATGTTCAAAAAAAGGAAAAAAAGTATATCATACCCATCAAATCCACCTTGCCATAAAATTTTTCTTGCTTCCTGCACTTTTTCATAATTTGCCTTTTTACGGAGATAAAATTTAAGGTCCTTTTGGGACAGTTTAGACTCGTCTTGGTAATTGAATGGTGCTGCAAACGTAAAAATTTTTTTCTATGATTAATGTGAATTAAAATATTTGAATTGGCTTAAATATGATTAACTAATTACTAATATACCTTGACATTCTTCTTTAAAAATTTGTTGCCAAGATAATACCATTAACGAATTATTGACCTTCTTCGTAAAATTCATATACCTTACAATGTCATAATTGTGATGTTCACCGTCGTGTACACCAAGCACAATGCCATAACCTAAATGTTGAATTTGTAATTGGAATAAAAATTGGGTATCTTAAAGAACAGTTAACCCAGGATAATCATATCTTGATAAGAATTTTGGTCGAAGTTAGGGTAAGTGCTTAAGAACGTAGTTTAGGCCGATCTGTTAGTGTAATAGATGACGTAATATACTGGTATATTGTCACGATATTTTATCATGTGATTGCGTATATTATGACGGTCCGTGGGTTGACTGTTCGTCTCCATAAAATTACACATAACTTTATTATTACCTCCTAACCTTTCCATGACACCTGTAATTAACAACCCTTGCGTGTCATCTACTACCAACAATTTTGCGTAAGCTCTTACATTTGACAACGTTAGCATTTGAGAGAGTGTATCTATGCGCATGTCCCTGAAGTAAAAGTCGGTTAAGATTTTTGTGTGTATTACCGTGTGAGATAAACGGTATATTACCTTATCTTTGAGGGATTTTTTGCAAAGAAATATTCCCATACCGAATACAAAGTTGGCCTTACAGGAGTAAAAACACGTGAAAACCTATTTATTTCAAATATTGATCAAACAAATTCAGATAGTTGAATTTAACAATATAAAATAATATCCTCACTTTGCTTCTTTTCGTTTAATATATTTCGCTTTAGAGTACTCTGTTTTTTTATCAAATGATGAGTGACTTTCAATTACTTTCTTGATAATATCCTAAATATCAAAAATTGATTGATGCCTTCAAATTAATTCAATGTAAAAAGTTTTTTGTTTTTTTTTAAATAAAAACAAACCTGTCCTTCCATCCCATCTTTTTTCAATTGTTCGATATCTTGGTAGGATAACTTCTGTTTAGACGGATCATCAACTGTTTTTTGATTATTTGCACCAGAATCATCTAAGTCTAAAGTGATCAAAAAATAAATTAACCTATATTACAATTGAGAATATGGTCAATGAAAGTGTTTCTTACCAACTTCATAAAATGCAACGTTTCTAATGACTTTTATTTTATCACGGTCATAAATTTCGTAAGAATGACCAAAAGGCTTCCCTATTATATCATTCGTATGGAAAGTACCAAATTTTCCCAATGATACAGTTCTATAGAAGTAATATAATAAAAATGATCAATTGTATTAAATATAGTGATTACATTTAAATAATTAAGACGAAAGAAAAGAAGTTTAATACACACTCACGTATCCTTTTGTAGTTTAACCACCTTAATATTACTACTCGGAAGTACAATAAACACATATTGATTATCCATAATACGAAGTGTATCAGTATGTTCTTGTTCAAAAGATTCATTATTGAAATCGATTTCATCAAAATTCTGGGAATCAAACGAGCTGTTAGAAGATTGTTCCAAAGACATCGTTAGAAGTAGTGGATTGATAAACTTCCGAATTGAATTATTAATAAAAATTTCAACCAATCAAAATGAGACGTTACTAGATCAATGGGTCATCGCAGACGTGACATTGATTCAAATTTTAAAAAGCTATATTTTATTTTGAGAAACAAAATTTTTCGACAATATCAACATAATAGAAGAGTAGTTTATTTATCAAAATTAGATTATTTTATAATTAAGCACTCAATGTCTAAAAATCTAAATTCATATATATTTATAGCATTATAGTTCAACTAGTGCAATTAGATGTTACCATCACATTATCATTAGCAGCATTTGCAGTTGGCTTCACCTCGTTATTTTTAGTTTGGTCTTTGTTCTTTTGACTAGACTTTCCCTTACTCCGAGATTTATTAGATGCTTGTTCTTTATCGCAAGTGATCGTATCTTCAATGCTCGAACCTTTTGCCTTGCGTTTATTAGCTATCGGAATAGCAAAAGGATTATAGGGTAATAGAATATCCGCTTAATTGAAGCAAAATTCGGAGTGACGCGATTAATTTTAGTTTTAGTGACGAGAAAGAAAATGGTAATCGTTATTACATACCATTTAGAAATTTAGTACTATATTCAGCCAATTGATTATTACCATCACAAGGGTTTTCCTCAAATATGGGCCCAATAACTAACGGACGTAGTGGTTCAATTATTCTGGTCTAAAACACGAATTTATAATTATTTCAATATTTATGGAAAAATGCACGCAATTAAAATTCAATTATAAACATTGTACCCGGATAGAGTTTTTGTCAGAAATATGAAGTAACCCGGATATTTTAATAGTACTTGGGTAGTAAATTTTTCTACGGGTACAATCTCTAAATTCAATTAAAATAACTCACCTGATTATACTCTTTGTAGCTTCCTCTCTTTTTTTTAACTAATGTAAAGTAAAATTGATGAAAAAAACATTATAATGTTCAAACAAATTGATCAAATTTGCTAATGCATACAAGGTGATGATTCAGAAGAAGCAATCGACGCAGACTCATCAGCTTCACCAATAATTTCGTCTTCAGATAGATAACCCGTAGGCACGATCCAGTCATCATCCTTAATAAAAAAAAAAAATAAGATAAAATAAGTCTGATCCTAAATGAAAATAACAGGCATCTAATATTCCATACTCTAGGATCTTCTTCTTCAGGATCATCATCATCATCGTCACTCTTTAATTCTTCACCTTCTTCCTCTTCTTCCCATTCCAAATCACTATCATATTCATAGTCCAAGATACTAGTATCTTTGGCAAATGGACGTCTGCCCGAAATGATTTTGCTCGACTTTGTCCAAGTACCTTGATCGATAAAAAAAAACATGTTTTATGAACTTAATCTAATTCACGAATTCTAAAATGTTGGATCGTCACAATTTTTTGAATTCAATTTTCAGCTCGATTTTAGAATTCAATAATTTAATAGTTTTGTGTTGTCTTACTGAAAATTGGTGAAAAATTGTGGGAGATCCAAACATTTTGCAAATAGTACAGTACACTGATCTATGCGAAAATGCAAGACATCAAAGACATCGATACCGTAATATGGAGGACGATAGTTTTCTTCAAATTGTAATAGTTTCATCCAAATTTTTTTGTTGTTTCTAAATACTGACGATAGATCGTCCACAGAGATTTCTGATACGGTTACGAAACTACACTCTCTTGTTACTGTTCCACTACGGATCGACCAATCCATGTTTTCACATTCATTATTAATGTTATCATCAATATCCATTCTAAAAGGTTCAAATTTTGTTGTTTGCAGCATTAAATCTTTAACAGACACAGGTGTTTTCACACCACGTTTTTTAAGAAGTTCCGGTCGCACGGTTGATAAAAATTCCTTAATATATTTTTCAGACTCTTTAGTTTTTTCTGGTATTAAAAAGTTACATATCGGATCCTTTGAATTCGAATCATTATTACGCGTGTTTCCAAACACCATATCGGCAAAATTCGGTGGCACAGGATGCTGGAAGCGATTTATTGGAGCCATGGTCATAGTTTTCGTTACATTGAAGGGAAGGAAATACGCATTAAATGGATCACTATTGGTGGCTTATAAGATGGCGCGAGCCATCAAGTGAGCATTAGAAGACAAATAATAAATGAATATTGATAAAATGCAAGATAATCGCGTGAGGGATAGCTTACCTAGCTTGTCATTCTTGGTGCTATCTTTCCGAATAGGTGAAAAGAATTTTAGCAAACTTACATTGGAATTATCGATGGATTTACGCGGCATTTATTATTTGCCAAAGTAATGCTCTAAATAGAATTAAAGAGAATTAAAGAGAATTAAGGGGAATTAAAAAGAACCAATTGTCAATGACGCGAATTGCAAAACTATTATTCCTGATAGATCGTCCTATCCGACCCTAGGATAGATTAGTCGCGCAGATCGGTCAACATTTTAGGGTCCGGATATATTTAATAAACGTGATAATTGACCAATCAAATCATATATTACTGATGCAGGAGAGATTTGGTTGCTGTCTACAGTTGCGCAAAAGAACGTGTGGTTGGGACAAGTAGGAGAATAATCTCCGAAACTACCGTTGGCCACAGTATCCCCCAAAAATAATACCCCCGTGATTAAGACCCGGGTATTATTCACCACCCATCCTACTTAATTCTTGAATAAGACCCGGGAGTATAGCTATACCCACGGGCTAGGTTGGCCAATGGACCAAAATGTGGCTTAGCAAATGCCAATGGACTATGTCCATTGGCCCAATAGCATGGTTAAAACATATGGGCGGATTTTGGAAATTCGAATATGTCACATGAATTTGGACGTATCTAAAAATAGATTAACCAATAAAAATTTTTGGATAACCATAGTAGACTTTTGAATTTATAAACATATATCGATATATATAATTATTAAATACGTACTTCAATGGCTAGTAAATGCCAACTTTGCAAAGAAATTTTTACTTCGCGTAAAGAGCTTGTAATTCATGAAAGAATTAAGCATCAGAATAACAAAATTATATCTCACCGTTATTTACTTATCCAACCTCCTCTTGAACAAATCATATTCTATCAGGATGTGTTTATAGTTCTTATTAAAAAGTGTCTTGGTTTTAATAGACATTTAATAGGCACAAAACAAGTTTCAATTAATGCCTTTTCAGAACATATATTTGTTTACCTTTTTGAGAATGAGCCTTCTTTTCGATATAGTCCTGTACAATGAAAATATTCTTGTTCATTTCAGGGTGAAGTTGGTGAACATAGGTTGAAACAATTGGTCAATTATGACTATTGGAATGTTCAACAAGATCCAAAATTAAAGACTAAAGATTACATGTTGTTTATGGATAATGGAAGTTCCTACAAAGTTATTTTTAGTTGGTCACAATCAGTGTTAAAAGAGAATGATTATGTTTTTTAATATAGAACTGCTATTTGTAAATTTGTAGCAGACTCAGAAGAATTTTTAAAAGAGTAAATAATAGAGGTTGGAACCAGTTTTAATAATTCGGGTTTATCACATGAATTTTGCGATATTTTAGAAATTTATCCAATTAAATTCTAAAATATTACAAAATTCATATGATAAACCCGAATTATTAAACCGGTTTCAACTTCTAGTAAGTAAGATTGAAATCTACTAACAAATGCTTTTGGTTATATAGTAATTTGCATAGTATTTTAATTTTTTATTGTTTTATAAGACTTGCTATAGCCCAAACGATTTCACATGCAACAAATCTGCTGCAAGTTCTAGATGTTGATCCAAATGAAAATTCTAATGATATAAAATCTTTTCAAAGAAATTATAGATTTATTTTACCCCATGTGCCCTTTTAGCAATTAAATCAGTAGAAGTAAATTATATAGTATTTAGACAAATAAGATAATTATTGATTTTTATTTTAATGAAAACATTAAATAATACAATCAATGGTTAATATAGTCAATATTATAATCAAAGTTAGTACATAGATCTTTTTTTTTTGTATATATAAAATTATAGAATATTAAATAAAAAAGATTGCCTAAACATTGTAACTAAACATTTTCATAAATATTCTTTTATTTATATATAACTATAAGTTACCTGAATAATGCTTAATGAGACCCAACCATATTACATATAACATGTTATTTCGCTAACAGTCAAAATTTATACAATAATTTAATATTAAACATGTATTATTCTTAAATATATTACAGATAATATAAACTTATAGTTCAAAAATTTATTATAAAGTTTATTTATTACATTGAAATCTGGGTAGCATTTTTGCAAAACGTTTTTTTTACCTACAAATCAAGGCTATTAGATTAAAATCAAAAGAAATTATTAATGTCTTAGTAAAATCTACTCATATTTTTTCTTATTTCGATTCAAGATAATTACCAAGATACAAAGAATTTAGTATGTTCTTGCAAAATGATATACTTTTTATTCTTCTAATCCAAATCGATTATAACGAAGATTGAAAAGCTTATTTTGCTAATGTTATATATTAAGATTATTCTTATAAAAGATTTAAAAATGTTAATATAATATGTAACTTAGTGTAGTGGTCTAGTCGCCACCTCTCTAAGTGGCAGGTCCAGAGTTCAAATCCCACAGACGACAAATTTTGGAAAATAGCCTGTACTATGGTTTACAGTTGTCGATTATTGGTTGAATCTAGAAATCTGTAATCTCAGTCACACCATCTAGTTATGAAAGCTTTGGTGCAATAAACCTGAGAAACCAGAATAACCAAAAACTCATTTGGCAAGTCCTAAATTTGGAGGTAGCAGTGATCTTTGATGGTACCATAGAAGGGCTGAATTTGAACTGGGGCCCGAGATTGGAGAACAGAGCGACCAGGTCCTTAAGTAGGTGGACACACTAGCTGAACCAACATACACAGCTCACTCCCAAAAAATTTTCACCTCACGTGATAATCATCCTGACTTTTTTTGTGTTTGTGTAACATTATTGCTAATATATTACTGTAAAACCTCAATAAGTACACGCTCTTTGGACAAGCTTTAACAATATGTACTTTGAGATCAACTTTGAGATCAATAAAAGAAAGTGCATTTATTGAGGGCATAAACATATTTGGGCCAAAACTTTAGTGTGCATTTAGAGAGGGGTATACATTTATAGAGGTTTTATTGTATTTTCCAATCAAAAAACTATTTTTTATCTACTTTGAGTGAAATACTTCAAATACGCAGTGTAGAGATTGTATCCAGATAGAAAATGTTATTGTAATAGTAATAGATTACCCAGTTAATCAGGCTATTTATTATTATAATACTCGGGTAGAATTCTTGTAACAGTATAATAACGTAATAAACAGATTAACAAATTACTTTTTTATTTAAAAATTAGGTTTCTATTTGACGGTCCATTTAAAAATTTTCAAAGCATAAAGATATCATCAGCAAAGACCCAGCAAATTTTCTCTTCGAATATTTTAGGTTTTATTTTTTATATTAAGAGTAAGGTGAAGCTACTTATCCGTTGAATGAAACAGAAGAAATAGAAAACAGAGCATTATAAAAGAGAATTGATTAATATAGGTTGTCAATTCTTATAAATTTAATAAGCCACTATATAGAAATTTTTTTAAAAATAAATGTAGTAAACTCACTAGATATTAGATCTTGTTAGAAAAGACAAATCAGGTAGATATAATAAATATTGAGTCCTTATTATATGCGTTTATTGTAAAAATATAATAAATAAAGAATCGAGGATTCAGAATAACAATGCTTGACTCCATATTTGAATTTCTTTCTCTTTTAATATTTAAAATTTTAAATAAGCAAATGCTAACTCGTAGATTAAATAAGTAGCCCATATATGCATATCATATTATACTAAAAAGAGTATAGTGTAGGTAATTGTGTAAATAGAATATTTACTAAGTGTCGAAATGCGATTTGATCTATTAACTATAATAGACAAAAAAAGTGAATACATAAATAAAAATAGCAATAATTAAATGCACTTTTTTATATTATAATTATCATTTTTCTTAACTGCTAAGTGTCGTTAAAATATGATTTAGTCTATTAACTGTAATAAATAAAAAAAATTAATATATAAATAAAAATAGCAATAATTAAATGCATCTCTTCATAATAATTTTCATTTACTTAGCTTGCATTTTTGTTAAGTGTCATCAAAATGCGATTTGATCTATTAATGAAAAGAATGAATGAATGCATAAATAAAAATAGCAATAATTAAATGCATCTCTTCATATAATAATTATCATTTTCATTAACTGCTAAGCATCATTGAAATACGATTTGGTCCAATAACTGTAATATTTTTTTTTTTTTTCTTTGATAACCACGTACTAAAGTTTTATTAAATATTTACTACTTAATACATATTAAGCTATTTAATAATCTAATTAGACTAAAACCCGGCTGTCCCTTTGAGATGCCCAAGTTTGGCTACCGCACTGATGTTGGCCACCTTATCCTACATACGTTGTGACACATTTAAAGATAAGGTCTAGCCTGGGCTCAGCTCCCATAATAACTGTAATAAATAAAAAGAATGAATGTATAATAAAAATAGCAATAATTAAATACATCTCTTCATAATAATTTTCATTTAACTTAGCTTGTATTTTTTGTTAAGTGTCATTGAAATGTGATTTGATCTATTAACTATAATAAATAAAATAAATGAATAAATAAAAATAACAATAATTAAATACATCTTTTCAAAATAATTATCATTTATCTTAGTTGCATTTTTCGCTAAGCATCGTTGAAATGCGATTTGATCTATTAACTATAAAAATAAAAGAATGAATATATAAATAAAAATAACAATAATTAAATGTATCTCTTTGTTTAGGGTAGTTAAAAATTCAAGAGGTGTGGCGACTTAGTGAAGTGGTCTAGTTGTCACCCTCACCAAACGTTATGGGAAGATCCCATGTTCAAATCC